TCTTTCTTCCAGAGAGCAGAAAAGATTTTCCCACCACCACCACCTTTGTTTAAAATATCTGAAGGCAGAGCTTTCTGTCTTAGCTTTAACAGCAAGACTTTTGGAATCAAAACAAAAATGTGTGCATGCTCATGAATGAAAGAGAGAGAATGAATGTGTGAGAGAGATTAAGGTGTAAATATAGCGGTATGGATGGGTGTGTAGATAATTTCTTCCAATCCTCTTTGGAAGTATTAAACTTTTTAAGTTTTAATTTCTGATAATCAGTGCTTTAAAGACGCCATCACTCATTTCTTTTGTATTTATTTTGGATTGTTTTGCCAATGTAGCTTTATTACTGGTGTAAAAGTAAGAAAAACAAATACTTTGAACCTACTGTTAAGAAGTTTGAGCTCAAAACTATCTCCACATCAATATTTTAAACTCTTGTTAGATATTTTTAGCATTTTAATTCAAGTGGGTGCAGCCATGATGATATACAAAGAAATCAAATAAAATGCATGAGTTTGTGAGGTGCGGAATTCTATTTTCTATCTCCTTTTTTAACCAGCCTCCCCCCCCCTTTTTTTTTAGCTGAAAGCAGTAAGTAGTGGAAGCATGGATTATCCACCAGAACTTCCCCAATTTTGGCACTGCATGTGTATATAATATTCTTTTAGCTACCTGAAAGATATTTTTTTCTGAACATTGTATGCTAGGGATTTTTTTTCCTTTTATTAAAGAAACATCAGGTTTTCGTCCATTTCATCTCCAAGTAGATTACTCATTGTAATGTTTGTATTCTATAGCTCTTCTCTCTGCATGTTGATGTTGGACCAGAGAGCCTGTTGTTTTCTACAGCAAGGAGTACCATTGCTGGCCATGTTTTGTTAAATCAGGTTCTGCTGGCTCACGGACACTTTAACTTAAAATGCAGAGTCTGAAATACACTCTAGGGCTTTGCAAGGATACAAGGCATAAAAACCTTTGGTTAATATGAACTGGAAGATGTTTAGCACCTCTCTTCTAATTATAATGAAAGAGCCAGAGATATGTAAACATATGATTGTTGACTTTTTAAAAAAATTTCAAACTATTTTCTACTGCTTGATTGCTTAATTAAAGTATAGTCACAGTCCCTTTTCCCCCTTTTAATCAACATGGCTGAATAATTCACAGTTTTTGTGTAATATTAGACATTTTGAGAGTTGAACCTGTCTGTTGGATCAATCTTTGTATGGCCGAAAGGGGACTAATATTTGAAATTACTGAGTCCAAAACTTCATTTAAAAATAAATTCCATACGATGTTTTAAGTGAATTTCATTCTGATATACGTGACAATTATGTTTATTGAAAGTAAATATTGTAAAAATGATGCCTGCTCCCACAGTTGTAGAAGACCCGCATTAGAATTTTCATATAACTACTAAGGGCAATCAGACTCTTTTCTCTGAATATTTTAAACATTGTACATGTAAAATTTATGCCTAATTTGAATACTTATTAGCTGCCTAATCTCTGAAAAGAGTATTAGGTTTGTTTTTTTCTTGTAAAATTCATCACTATGTGTATCACATTTTCTACATCTATTATTTCTCTTCGTGTATATTCAATGGTGTGTTTAACAACGACTGTTTGTACATAAACACATCTGTTTCTGCAGTTGTTTACTGTAGATATTACAGCTGCCCTCTTTCATGTTAACTATGTTCATGTTTGTTTAATTTGTATCCTGTTTATTTTTTATTAGAACATCCTTTCATAACTTTATATTTTACTATCTCCACTTTTGTCGCACAAAATGCACATTCATTTTTTGTTTATCTCCTTTATCCTGTGAAAGTAGTTTGTTGTATTGACCTGTTTTATGTTTTGTCATGTTATGGGAGGATTTTGTAAATTGTTGGATGGAAGTGAGTAAGTTTATCAATATGTTAAGTAATAGGCTTTTTTTTTTTAACCAAGTTTGCTTAAGCATATTATTTATCTACACATTGGTATCTTTATATACACGCTTTGCCAAAATGGTTTTTGGAATTCTTTCAATGCACTGTGTGTAATAATATGGGGAAGCAATATACAGTTGACACCAATAGTTCAGTATAGGACTTAGGAAGCTTTGAGAACACAAATTGACCTTTCCATATTATAGATGCAAAATGCACCTTGAAATTCTGGTTTGTAAGGGCACGTTGGTTCTTTATTTACTGCAAGAATTTCAACTGATCTTGGCAGGACATCTCATTGCTATCCTGAAAGTACAGTATATTTATGCAGTGAAAATGATAAAACATTTATTACTGTAGAGAAGGTAATATGCATAATTTATGCTGTTTTTAGCACAATCATTAGTGATATTCTTGATAGATTTTATTTCCAGCTTTCATATCTAATACATGCCTGGAAAATTAATTTTATATCTTTCATTTATTTGCCTATGTTAAAATTGAGTTTTAAGTCATCTTCAAGTGAACAGTTTGATTGCTGCTCATGCATAAGCTTAATTACTTCCCAGGAAGGACAGTATTAAATGTTTTAAATGTCAGAAAAATAAATGAATATCAGCCGTTTGATTAAAAAAATAGGCAATATCTGACGTGTTTGCAGCAGGAGCTTTTTCTTAAAATGCCTCCAAGGCAAAATTTTATTTAGTCACAAAAAAGGAGAAGCCCGTTATACTATTTATCATTGGTTGATACCATATGATTTGTAACACCCTTACAAAATTTTAATTTTGTATGATTAGCTGTGCATCATTAAACAACAGCCTTGCATAAGATATGCTGTAAAATTCTGACAGAATCAAGATAGTGAATATTTTAAATAAGGCTGTATAGTCATCCATGGTTGTCAAAGCAAGATAATAGGAAATATAGAGCAGAGTGTGAAATCCTGCCTTCATTTAAACTGGTTTTATAGGTAGACTTTAAAATGCAGTCGTTCATAAATGCTATTGACCATGCTGCATGCATGGTATGTTATTTGGCTGTTAAATGTAACCACACAAAGAATGCTTATAGAGATAATAATTTCAGTGATTAGTGTCTGTATGAAATCAGAATTTGTATTGCATTTCTTGGCAAGTGACTATGCTCGTTTTCTCCCCCCTTCTTCTAAAGATGCTATCTGTGTAATTGGCAGAGAGGGACATCTTGATAATGGAAGTGTGAAGGTGTAACGTGTGTGCTAATTGATACTTCTTAATCACTTTTAGGTATTAAGTCATGATGCAGGAATCTGCGACAGAGACAATAAGCAACAGTTCAATGAATCAAAATGGAATGAGCGCTCTAAGCAGCCAATTAGATGCTGGCAGCAGAGATGGAAGATCAAGTGGTGACACGAGCACTGAAGTAAGCACAGTAGAACTGCTGCATCTGCAACAACAGCAGGTAAGTTTTGTTTTGCTTAGTATTTGTTCTTAAACAAATACAAATGATTCTTTACTTACATCCTTATATAGAGCTTATACATGTAGTGAATGTAAAGTATTGTGTAAGCCAAAGAGTATAATGCATTATTTGTTGTTGTTTCTATGCATGGTAATATTGAAATATGAAGATACTGTTTTCATATTAGTAATGTCTTAATAGCACTATAATACACTATACATGCTCTTTTACTAATTAGGTTTGCATAACATATTAATAAAAGTTACTGTGAAGCTTTTCAGTACATGTTTTCAGAACCTCTAGTTTACTGTGTGATACTGTGATGTAAAATGTGATACTTACTGTTCCACCAGAGGGCCACATTACTTGATACTTTGCTTGCTTATACAATGAATTCTTCCAAAATCTGAGCTAAGGTGAAGGGATCAGAGTGACTTCTCACAACACAGATGCTTTTCTGTTGTAGTTATAAATACAAAATGCTGATTAGTTAACAGCTCCTGAAACATAAAGTCTACATTATATTTTTTATATATGTTGATATTGCTAAAAAGCTTTGATATTGCTAAATATCTTTGTAAAAGGGGGCAAAAACTTTTATATAGAGCTTTCCATTTTGAAGTTTTCTTTCTTTCTTGTATATGCCATCTGAATGCAGTTTATACTTGTAAAAGTGGAAGAATAAGCTGTTGAGCACCTAAAAAGAGAGTGTCTATTAAAAGTCAGTTAATTAACAAAGATAATTGAGTAACTGTGTGTAAGGTTTATTCTTCTATTTTCTCTCCAGTGTTTAGGCCAAAATTAGGTTTAATTGGTAAGAATCTTGGACATGATTCTGCAAAGTGCTGAGAACCTCTTTTAAGCTGCTGGATGCCTTCAGCATCCACTCACCTCCGTAATGTCGGCCCCCCACTCAGCACCTTTCAGGATTTCAGCTTCATTTGTAAATATTGGTATTTTTTATTAGCAACACCTGGATTTTATTATTGGAGAGAAAGTAGCCTTACTTAAAGTGAAACAGTCTAAAAAAAGCTGGTTTGGTAGAAAGACATTTATAGTAGCATACCTAAATTACTTAAATTTGGGCCTCTGAGATAACATCAGGGCATAGTGACTTTTAAAAGTTAGTGCTCTTAATGCTAAAACTAAACAGTTTCACTAGATACCTTGACTATTAAATACAGTATTTGCAATAATGACACAAAGTGTGGAAAAATTGAATAAAATAGTTATGGTTGAAATCTGAGAAGTTAAGACTGTTACATCTGTTCGTTCTTTCAATTGCAAGTGTATTTTATTTTAACAGCTGAGCACTTACTGTATTACAGCTTAAGGAACTGGGGTTTTTTTCAGTGCCCTCTAAGCACTTAGTTAACTTAAAACTACATCTTTTTTACATTTTATATTATTTTTATATTAAAAGCAGGCCACCAACTTTATTTAAGAATTTGAAATTGTTAGTTTTAAATATTTATTAAACTTCTTAGAAATAGGCCATTTAATATGTGAAAAGTATTTAAAAACCACATTTAACTGTAGTATTTTACAACACAAAGCACATCAACAGAATAATACGTCACTTACATGTCACTCAAAGCAGCAGCCCTAGATGTTTGTAGTTCATTTGTCCATATAGTCACAGATTCCAGTAGATAGCATTTGCAAAGACCACAGAGAATAAAAATTGAAGATGAAAATATCCAGTAGAGTATTAATAACAGACAGGTTCTGAGGGGACAGGCTTAGAAGTGACAATCTTTTCTTCAAAAATGTGATTATATCTTAAATAAGCAGACAGGCAAAGTAAAACTGTGGGTACACTTAATAAGACTCAGGAGGCATTTTATGATAGGGTCTGCACCGTAGGATTTAAATACCACCTGAGTTTGGTGTATAAATCCTTCTACAAAACATGTTGATGTAAAATGTAAACATGGAATGTCAAATCCTTTAGGTGATTTGCTTATCTTTGTACTACATTTCTTTGTTTTTTCCCTTAAATGTTGTTTAAAAGAAAAAGGCAAGATGTTTTTATTTTTACCATGTCATCACTTTCTAGATCAATACTTTGTGAGTTATTACACAGATATTTAAAAGTAAAATAAATCTCTATTTATTTTTCTTTGTTTTTTATATGAGCTTGCAGAGATATGCTGTACTAATGTCATAATTCAGTATTCTTGTTGTGGCTTCCTTAACGTGAGCCTTAAAATATTGTAATTGTTGTTATGATTCTGTGTCTTACATGTAAGTAATAATGTGAACTGCTATTGCTTTGAACTTAAGTATGTTTCATACAACTGGACAGTAAGTTAAAGTGTTACTAATACATCAGAACTGGTCATTAAGAAAAACAGAATTAAGAGACGAGCTTTTCAACTTGGCATGAATATTTACTGGTTAAAGTTAAACATGGTGATTGATGCTTCTATAGAAGGAGCAACTGAGATTATTTTAAATTGCTTAATAAGATAGGACTGATCTTTTAGCTGAAACATCTTGTTCAGCCATTTGATCAGAAACTGATAGGTTTACTTAAAGTAAATAAAAGTTAAATCAGTCTCCACTGAAGTTTACTCTGTAAAATTTTCTTGGAGTTAGGACAATCCTTCTTTGGCTTGATTAATTACATTGCTGTGATCCTTATATAAGATTGGGAAGTTTGACTTAAATAAGACAGTTTTTCTTCATCCAAGTATCAAGACAGATTGACAGTATTCTATAATATACAGTTATATACACTCAATGACAAATAGTTGGGGAACTGTCACAAGTCATCTGGTCGGCTTTAAAGATATATGACTAGTCTGGAAGCAACCTTTTATCCTAGTGTGGATATTTATCAACCTGTAAATATTGTTAAAGTGAACATATATCTTTAATTTTGAAAATGGGTTACAATTGATTTCTTATTTTAAATTTGAGGTGTGATCAGAAAATTAATAGTTAAAAAGTCATACACTTATTTTTAATCTGTTGAATTCTGTATTGGGTACTAGAATATATAATGCATGTAAATAGCATATTTTTCATTAAATACATTGATAAATTACTCTGCATTAGATGTAGAATTTTATTTTTATATTAGGTTTGTAGAACTAATTGTTTATGTCACTAAGGTCAAAATAGTTGCTAAAATCTGATTACTTTACAGGGTAGATTTGAGCTTGCATTTTGAGTATTCATTAAGTCAGTTTCACCAAGATAATCTTTTCACTTTTTTTTTTATGAATTTACTCATAGAAAGGCGTTTCAAAGTAATTGTGTTTTAAAAATCTTTTTAATGCTTTTTAAAAAGCATTTCACTTACATTAAGTATACATGAAAAGTTATTTGTAACATTTACAGAAATAAAATGCTGGAATACAGATATTTTGTTAACATAGAAAAAAAATATTAGCTTCCTGAATGTGTGATCTTTTTGAATATTTTGAAAAGAGGAATGGAAATAACACTTTTTATTTATTTTTTCCCCTACCTGAAATTTCAAATTAGACATTTATGAGAAACATGTGTTTGTATATCCTAGGCAGTAAGTACACTTACTGAACCACTAAGAACTTACCCTTTGACTCTTCAGAAGTGTGAATATGCTGTTTCTCCTCCTGTGTATCTGTATATCCAGAAATATGACACAAGAATTTGTAACTACTATATCCATGGCAAGAGTTGAAGACAGAGAGGAATAAACATGGCACATAATACGATTTTAAAATCTTCTTACCTCCTTCCTTTTATTGTTTTTTTTTAAATCGCCCATATATCTGGATGAAGCAAAATGTTATCTCCTAATAATTTAACATAGTAGTTACAATTCTTAGGACATTATGCACGAGTTTTATATGGGTTTTTTTTACACCCACTATTTTTGGAATGGACAAAATTTTGTAGTGCTAGCTTAGATTATTTCAGTTCAATCGAAATACAGACTGCAGGATTAATGAGTGGAAAGTGTATTTTCCAAATGCTGATATACTTCAGTAGTCCAAACTGTAATTTATTAGAAATTAAGAATATGCCAAATTTGGAAATGTCCCCCCGAGTCAGTTTTTGTTAAATTCTGATTTTCCCCAAGAACTACCTATAAATTAATACACAGATGCTCCATCAAATTACTTCTTTCTGGATGGAATGTTACAAAAATATCTAACCTCAGATAGAGAAAAGAAGTATGAGACACAGAAGATTAGATTTCATTCTTGTCTGTATCTTAGACTTCCTCAGTGACCTTTGATAAATCTTGTGCACCTGCTGCTCACCTTGACTTTTGTAGGACTTCTGGTAGCTCAATACTTATGTGGGCCTCAGTTTTAACACCTGTAAAATGGAAATAATATTTTGTTAGTTTACAAATATTATGAAACTTTAATCATATACCTTTCTGAAGAGCTTTGTGAACTTTGGCTGAAAAGTGTGAATGAAGTGTAAAATATTAAATATAAGTGTGTGTATGTACACACGTGTATGACGTACACACACACACACACACACACACATACATGCATGTCTCACAGAATTTCTACTAGAAAAAAAATCTACATTTTATTGTGGTACTCCTGGCAAATCTTAATCCTGCACAATTAAACACATTTTGTGTTACTCTTTTTCTTACATGTTGTTAGCTATCACAATAAATATGCTATAATTTTAGTACAGAACAAAATCTTACTGTAACCCAAATATACACACAACATCTTTAATACTTTATATTTGAATGTATCAGTAAATAGGTTGAAACCACATATATTCTGTATGTGTTGCACTGTGGTTTAGTTTTCTGATTTATTTGCAGTTTTCAGTAGCCTATAAATTTTTAAAGAAATACTAATTAATTTAATTTGGGTAGAGGAGTGTGATATATGTAAAAGTCTTGGTTAATGTTATTTTTTACACCTTTTTCGTATATTTTTGTTCCTGTTATAATGGAGCAAAATATGTCTGTTGTGGCTTCACTGAATAGGGATCCTGACAAATGCCATCTGAGAACACGTGATCAGCCC